CTCTGACTCTTCCCATGTGCTCTGCCCTGCAGACCCTGGTTCTTGTTCTGTTTGCTGGGGAGGGAAGAAAGGGCTGTTCTCCCGCTGTTTTCCTGATGGTATTTATGGCTGCTGCTCAAATGGATGCTTCCAAATGTTTGTTCCTGCCTCCTGCCCAATATAGGCAGTGGTTTTGCCTATGATCTACTGGGCTAAAGCATCTAGAGGGTTATGAAAATTCAAAGGCATCTGAATTTCACCATGCCTCTTGCTAATGTCAAATTTTCATAGGAATTGACTTCACAGGACAAAGAAGCTGCCAGATGAACACTGATGCTGTATTAATGATAGGGTACATTGACCCACCCTGGTGTGTCATCATCGCTGCCAAAGGAAGCACATAATCACCTTTCCTGCATCTGTCCCACTAACACCTAATTTAAGTATATATTTGCCTGCCGATTGATTTTGTGGCAGCTATTATCCTGCTATCGAAGTGCTTCAGGATCTCCCTATTCATTTCAGTTTTTATATGATCCTTTTAACAGTGTCTGAACAGCAGGTAAATTGGGTCCACAGAGCAAATGTCTCTGCAGCCTTCCCATTCCTCTCTTCCCAAAGAGGACAGATAATGTCTTGCAGTAAGTCAGTGGGACCTGATCTCCCAAATCACCCCTGCAGTTCTGCAAGAACCTGAATTCGGTCTTCCTGAGGGATAGGGTGGGGAAATGGAACTTCACACAGGCTTTGCCTGAAGTCCTTTCTCTTTTGCTCCCTATTTCTCTGTTTCTGTATGAAAAGTTATTAGTGAAATCCAAGCAGTTTTAAAGAACTGGCTAGCAGATTTCACTGCTTGCCAAGCACAAGTGTGCGTGTTTGGGTCCGCACTCACTCTTTTTGCTCCTGCTAGTGCCTTGCCCCTCTACTCTGCTCTTGTGAGACCTCACCTGGAGCACTGTGTGAAGTTCTGGTGTCCTCAATATATAAAGGACATGGAACTGTTGGAACAAGTCCAGAGGAGGCCACGAGGATGATCAGGGACTGGAGCACCTCCTGTATGAAGACAGGCTGAGGAAGTTGGGGCTGTTCAGCCTGGAGAAGAGAAGGTGCGTGGAGACCTCATAGCAGCCTTCCAGTATCTGAAGGGGGGCTATAGGGATGCTGGGGAGGGACTCTTCATTAGGGACTGGAGTGACAGGACAAGGGGTAACGGGTTCAAACTTAAACATGGGAAGTTTAGATTGGATATAAGGAGGAAATTCTTTCCTGTTAGGGTGATGAGGCACTGGAATGGGCTGCCCAGGGAGGTTGTGAATGCTCCATCCCTGGCAGTGCTCAAGGCCAGGTTGGATGAGGCCTTGGGTGATATGATTTAGCGTGAGGTGTCCCTGCCCATGGCAGGGGGTTTGGAACTTGATGATCTTAAGGTCCTTTCCAACCCTAACTATTCTATGATTCTATATTTCTATGATTCTCACTGCATGCTACTGAGCTCCTTTGTAATTCCTGGCTGCACTTGTGGGTCTCCATGACTTGCTGGTGTTCCATCTACTCACCATGGCCAGAGGTCCTGTGCTTTGCTGAGCTAGCTCCAAGCACCCAGGCAGCTCAGCACTGAAACCACTTGGAGGGGCCAGTGCCAGACATCGGGGCAACCTTCTGCATCCTTTTTCATCTTTCATAGCTGTGGACCGCTTCAGATCAAGTGGCCCTTGCACTTGGTCAATGCTAAAAAAAAAATATCCTTATGGATATTTTAGCCCAAACTGCAATGAAAAGAGTTTCTGCATCAAAGTATAACCGGGCAGCTCTGCTCACGGGGATGCACCTTTGGGGCTCACCCCTTCTCTTAGCGAGACCTACAGCACCTATATAGGAACAACCCAGCAGACCTGCTCCGGGGTGGGGTGAGCCAGCCTGGAGAGCACCACAAATCAGAGGTATCTCTGCAAGAATGCTAGGTTATCACAGCACCATGGTCATTGTTCTATATGCCATGAAAAGAAGCACTTCATGCGTAGTTTGTAGTGAGGGATATGTTAAAACAGGAGGGTGGAGCAGTGTTAGATTTTTGTTGAGGTCTGTATAGTGAGATGAAGATGAAGTCATCTTGGAAAAGGCTGCCGCAGGTCAGCAGTGTTTGATTGTGTGAGTAGTGGCTTAATTCACCTTTCAGTTGCACAGACCAACCCCAGCCAGGTGGGAGCTGTGTGATGGTTTCTGTCTCTCAGGTGATAGATGTGGTGCGTCACCAAGGCCAGGTTGGATGGAGCTTGGAGCAAGCTGCTCTAGTGGAAGGTGTCCCTGCTTGTGGCAGGGATTTGGAGCTGGATGAGATTTAGGGTCCCTTCCAACCCAAACCAGTCTGGGATTCTGTGATTCATTAATGGGGAGAAACCATCCTGAATTTGCATTAAATCCGAACAGTTTTATGTTAAGCAGAGATCCTGAAGCTCCTGGGTAACTGCACTTACAGTTTTATCAAACTAAACAGCAGTGAACTTCCCTCAATAGTCACAAAGGCAGAAACCAAGAGATGTTCAAACTTCGGGGTACCTTGCAGCAGAAGCTCATCACTGACACTAGTACCTGCTTGTGAAAAGCCGTCTGCTGACCTCTTCCCTGTAAACATTTAAATACAAGCAGAACATATACAGATTCATTGGAATGCTGTAATTCATTAAACAAATGTTGGCTTTAATAGGGCCGTGTAGAAAGACTGGTGCCATAGATGCACTCAGCTGTAAAATATGCTGGGGAAGTCATTTGTTTGCAAGGGGTCTAGAAATCTGCTTCCTATTAACGGAGAACGGCTTTACAGGAGAAAAATCTCTGGGATCACATATTTCCCTCAATTATTCCATCTCAGCGGGATTCCTTAGGGCTTGCGCCAGGTAACTGAAACGTGCCTAAGCTGAGGGGCTGGTTCTGGGGTTTGTTTTGATCCATTAAGCTTGTATCTCACTGCAGTGATGTAATTCCCCCAGTCTGAGACACTTTATAAACATTAATGGGTTTGTTTTCACAGTCCCGGGGGACGTGCAGCCCAGGAAGGTCACGGGGACCCTTTCACCAGTGCAGAAATGGAGATGGGGAAATGTAGCACTGCAGCATTGCAGGGAAAACCGGACTGTTCAGCTACATTTTTAACCTCTCCATCATTAGCTCTCTTTAATCCTGGTTTAATAACTTACGGACTAACACAGCAGCATTTCAGCTACTGCGCAGCACTAACACATCATAGAAACATAGAATAGTTAGGGTTGGAAAGAAAGGACTTTAAGATCATCCAGCTCCAACCCCTGCCACTGGCAGGGACCCCTTCCACTAGAGCAGCTTGCTCCAAGCCCCTGTGTCCAACCTGGCCTTGAGCACTGCCAGGGATGGGGCAGCCACAGCTTCTCTGGGCACCCTGTGCCAGCGCCTCAGCACCCTCACAGGGAAGAGCTTCTGCCTTCTGCCTGAACTTCCTCTGTTTCAGTTTGAACCCATCACCCCTTATCCTATTGCTACAGTCCCTAATGAAGAGCCCCCCTCCAGCATCCTTGTAGCCCCCTTCAGACACTGGAAGCTGCTCTGAAGTCTCCACGCAGCTTCTCTTCTCCAGGCTGAACAGCCCCAATGTTCTCAGCCTGTCTTCATACAGGAGGTGCTCCAGCCCCTGATCATCCTCGTGGCCTCCTCTGGACTTGCCCCTATCAGTAAGGGTTGTGTTAAGATGCTGCTATATACTCCAGCAGGGGAAGAAAACAGTTGGTGTTCCGAGTTTTAATCGTAGAATCCCAGAATGGTTTGGGTTGGAAAGGACCTTAAAGCTCATCCAGTTCCAACCCCCCTTCCAACCTTCCACTAGAGCAGGTTGCCCCAAGCCCCATCCAACCTAGTCTTGAACACTGCCAGGGATGGGGCAGCCACAGCTTCTCTGAGCACCCTGTGCCAGTGTCTCTTCCAGTGTTAAGAGAGAGAAGTGAGGAGTCAAATGCAGTTATAAATACCCAAAAATGTGACCTTTGAAGAGGGGGGAAAAGAAAACTGTACACATAAGCAGCTAGTGTGACTTTGATGGAATTACTTAGTGGAGATGTGCTACAGGAGACACTGAACCCAGGGCACGCTGTGTTTTTTGCCGCTGAAGTTTGCTGGTCGCTTGGGCTGGATTTTCTTGGTGAGCTTTTCTTTGCTGATGAATGGCCCCACAGATGTCTCTGGCGACATTTGGAAGGTGCCAAACTGCTGCTGTTTGCACTTCGATGTGCCAGGGTGTAACAAAACAGAGGCACAGAGGAAAAACCCTGCCTTTGGCAATGTTTTATCCCATCACAGAAGGTCCATTTTAAAGGCTGTGCTGAAGGAAGCTGTTGATACCCACAGCCCTTTCAACTGGAATTGTTACTGCAAACAGAGATACATGGAGCAGATGAGGAATTAATGTAAATATACAGACAGAAGGCAATTTTTGGGGGAGGAAGTGAGCACAAGCAGATAAAAAATGATCAACAGAATTTACATAAGCCTGCAGCATCCCAGAGGTCATCATTCTGCAGGATGACACATTGGAATTCAGTTTTATTAAATTCAGCCTGATTATTTAATTGGAAAAGAAAGGATTTAATCGAATCGAGTCAAAGGGCTATATTAGATTGCGTTCAACCTTAACACACAAGGCTTTCCCCATTTAGTTAAACTGGTTCCTTTGCATATTGTACACCTTAAACCATAAGAAGTGGTAATCTGAATAGCAAATTAGTGTTTGGAAGGCTTGAACGGTACTCGTGTGCTACTCAGCCCTTTTTCATCTCCTAAACCTTCTCACATTCCCTTTACTGCACTGTTTAGGTTGAAACGAGTGAAGATGATGGGTAGTAATCTCAAATCTCCATCCGTGTTTACGCCATCTATATGCTCCTGTGGAACACCCTGCCTGGGTGTGATGCTGCTACTGGAACATATTGCCCAAAATTGAGGGATGTTTCCAGGTTTTCAAGGCTACCCCCTTGCTCCACCTGAAAAGAAGCTAGAGCTGAATGGAGATTTGAGATTTATTGACTTGGGTTTCCTGTGTGTCCTTAGGAAATACTCCTGACCTCGCTGTGCCTCATCTGCATGGGCAGAGACTCCCATCCTGCAGGGACATGGACTTGCTGCCTGAGAAAAACTGGAAATAAGGAAAGGAAAAAAAAAAAAAAGGAAAAAAAGAAAAGACAAAATGATTTTGGGAAATAATAGGTTTCTAATTTTGGCCATTTAATTAGCTTTTAATTTAATTTAATTTTTTTTTGTTAATTAAAAACTAACAGGAGAAAGGGAACAAGGCCCAATTCATTTCCTAATGCTTCATTTCATCGCAACTTTGAGGATGTCAGCAAAGGAGTAAGAATCAGCACAACCCAAAATAACCCTCAGGTACTTTGAATGCACACCTTGGTGATATTTTTAATGTTTTAATCCTTCTTGAAGGCATTATTTGTATTAGAGCTCCCTGGGAACACCTTTGCTGACCCCTGCTTGTGCCTGTACCCCTAATTTTCTACCCACCTTGAGTTCTGGCAGCTGATACCTCAGGATGCTGATGCTCTACACTCCTTCCAGGTGGAAGCTTGGAGAAATCAAATCCTCCTTTGAATGATCAGAATCAGTTTTAAATGGACCCAACTGATCCCCAGTGAGGGTTGGGGGAGGTTTGGGGAAGGGGAGAAAACCTTCTGAGGCATATTCAGGGGAATATCAAAAGAGAAACTGAACATGACCAAGGTTCAGTGTGTGCTGGAGCCCAGAACCCCCCTGTGTGCTGGGCTGCACCGCTGGAGTGAGAGCAGCAGCTCAGGGAGGGGATTCTGCTCCTCTGCTCTCATGGGACCTCACTTGCAGCACTGTGTGCAGTTCTGGTGTCCTCAACATCAGAAGGACAGGGAGCTGTTGGAGCAAGTCTGGAGGAGGCCACGAGGATGATCAGGGGCTGGAGCACCTCCTGTATGGAAACAGGCTGAGAACACTGGGGCTGTTCAGCCTGGAGAAGAGAAGCTGCGTGGAGACCTCAGAGCAGCTTCCAGTGTCTGAAGGGGGCTGCAAGGATGCTGGAGAGGGACTCTTCATCAGGGACTGGAGTGATAGGACAAGGGGTGATGGGTTCAGACTGAAACAGGGGAAGTTCAGGTTGGAGATAAGGCAGAAGCTCTTCCCTGTGAGGGTGCTGAGGCGCTGGCACAGGGTGCCCAGAGAAGCTGTGGCTGCCCCATCCCTGGCAGTGTTCAAGGCCAGGTTGGACACAGGGGCTTGGAGCAAGCTGCTCCAGTGGAAGGGGTCCCTGCCCCTGGCAGGGGTTGGAGCTGGATGAGCTTTGAGGTCCCTTCCAACCCAAATCATTCTATGATTCTATAAATGGACTTGAAGTAATAAGGCAGATTTTTTATAGCAGGTTATTAATTTATGGATGAGTCCACGGCCAACTGTAAGCAATGTTTTTTTAAAATAGCACACTTGCTAATGCAGAAATTCTCTTGCGTTGGTAAATTAAAGTTTCCAGCACTGCCAGTATAGCAACGCAACTGGTTTATTATTAAGGTTAGATTTAGAAGCACAGTTTGGACGTTGCTTCAGCAGCTGAATGTGTTCTTGGATGGCTCAAATCAGCTTTTACCTGATTTTTTATGATAAAAATAATGTGCCAGAACTTTAAATCTGAGTTTCTTTTGCTGAAGCTTACAAGTGCAATGACAAAGTTTTGCATATATGCTACTGCAGTTGCACATTCAGGTTATCTGGTTACATCCATAATTCTCTCATTTGCAAGCACAGTTTGCAGCAAATACTCATGCAAATAAGGCATGAAACAGGGCATTTATTTGATTAGAATTCAGTTTCTATATACACTTAAAGGACTTTATCTCATTCAGGGATGGCTGCATAGATGATGAAGAAAGAATCTCAAATTCTCCTTGAAGGTTGTTTGTCCACCCATTGGGAATTCATTAAGGAAAACACACCTTCCCACTGGTATTTCAAGTGCCCTTGCCCAGCACTAGTGCTTGGATTGCAGACACTGCTGGAAACTCTCAGAGAAAAATAACTTTCCCTTCAAAATCCACCATACCATGTATCTAAATACTGGATTATCTTCGGTTTGCAAAATCCTGTTACAGATTACAAGGTCTAGATGCTGCTTGACAAGGACTTGGTCCTTTTCACTCTTGGAGAGCTGGCTGTAAGCATGATCCAGATCAGGTCCGGGGTTTCGGGGGACCCGGGATGATGTGAGTGTGGTTTTTCAGCTGACATGATAGATTTACCTGATATCTGTTCCTAAAAGCTGCCTGGGGACACTCAAGCCAAACCCCTCTGTTTCTGCAGAGCCACATCCCAGCACTCCATGGGGACTGTCCCTGTAGGACAGTGACATGCTGCTGCTTTATCCCATCTCAAGCCTCTCCCAGTGTTACTCTCTTTGCAGCTCACTGAGGAACCCTTTTCTATGTTTTTTACTGCATTTTGGCTAAGGTCTCTGCATTACCTGCAGTGGTGCAGAAGGGCATCCTTCAGCTTCAAGGAACTGCCCCAAATTCTCAGTGGGTTCAGCCAAAAGCCTGAGCCTAGGCAAAAACTGAAGGGTTTACAACACGGGCAGGACTGTTTCCCTCCCTTTCCTTAAGGACTGTGGTGTTCTCTGGCTTTTCCCTCGGTAGGAGCCCTTCCTCACCGGCTCTGCTTCCCGCACCCACTGACATTCTACAGGGCCCACCCCGTTCCTAAACCCACCCAGTTCCTAAACCCCTTTATGAACTTTCGGAGGCGCACATGGCTCAGGCAAAGCCACTCAGTGCTGCTGCCTGTGGCTTTCAGAAGCGGGGATGGTGCAGCCGTGCAGGTTTGCAGAGCAGCACGGATTCACTGCGGCGGGGACGGAGCCTGCCCGCACCGCTGCCTTGCTGAGGATGCTCAGGATGCAGCTCTGCGGGCTCGCTGCAGCCCAGGCCCTGGCAAACACGCAAGTGGCTCTCTCGGAGGCATTGATAGGGAAACATCAGCGCTCCCTCTAGCAGTCGCCAGCGATGATACCAAATCATTCTCCATTTTTCACCCTGGGTTCGTGCCACATGAACCGTCAGCGTAAGGGCTCTCGCATTATCGCACTGACAGCACACAGGTTGCTCTCCCCCCCCCCAACCCAGCCCTTCCAGGGGGAGTTTTGGAGCCCGTTTCACCTCCACCTGCTGTTGGGGATGCACCTTTCGGGGTGAACCTGAACCCGGTTACCAGAAAGGCACTGGGCTGAGCAGCGGTTTCAGCACATGGGCTGCGGGCACTGCAGCACTCACCGCAGTGCCCCAAACTTCCCGAGGGGGGGAACTGAAGGGGCTTGCTATAAATGCAGCGCTGTCACAGGGCTCCCCCCAACCCCTGGCAGGAAGGAGCAGCTGGGGGGCGGGGGGCTGCAGGTAGGGGGTGCACCCCCCTTTGCCCAGCACCCTTTGTATCCCCCTCTCACAGCACCCCTCTGGCGCAGCCCCCCGCCCCATTGCCCCTTACATGCACAGCCCCCATTGCACTCCCCTTTTGCACAGCTCCCTCCCCTTTACGCACCCGTCACACAGACCCCCCCCCCCCCGCCTTGCACGGCCCCCTCCACACAGCCCCCTCCCCTCGCTTCTCCCCCCTCGTTCCCCCACTTTGCATGCCCCCCCTCGCACAGCCCTCTCCCTTCCTTCCCCCCTCCCTTGCACTGCTCTCACCCCCCCAAAGCCCCCCTCCCCTCGCTCCCCCCCTCCGGCACAGCCCCCTCCCCTATCCCCACAGCCCCGCCCCTCCTCCCTGCCCACTCCCCCCTCCCTCCGGCAGCCCCTTCCCGCCCCCCTCCCTCTCTCTCACCTCTCTCCTCCTCTTCCTCCCTCCCCCAGGCCAAAATCCTGCACATGATGGACGACAACAAGCAGCTGGCGCTGCGCATCGACGGGGCGCTGCAGGCGGCGGGGCAGGAGGTGACGGCGCTGCGCGCTGAGCTGGCCGCCACCGGCCGCCGCCTGGCCGAGCTGGGCAGCGACCCGGCCATGGAGCACGGCCCCCACAGCGCGCAAGGTGAGGGCAATGGGGGGCGAAGGGGGGGGGGTTTGTCTCCGCGGCCACCGCTGGGAAACTGCGTCCGTTCGCGGCTGGGTTTCGTTATCTGTTTGGGGGTTCGGGGTGCCCGGTGCGTCCCGTCGAGCCCCGGCTCCATCCGCCGGTGGTGGATTCATTCCCCTCAGGTTTTGAGCACGCTGCGAATTCCATGCAGCTTCTTCCGCCTCTTAAAGCTCCAGCGCGCGCCCCCCACCCCAAATGGAGACACCCCCCTACCCCCCCTCCTCCTCACCCCCCCCCCCATCCCCAGCGCGGTGCTCGACCCCTGCCGCGGCCCCGCACGCCGGCTCCCCGCTACCCCGCTCCCACAGCCGGTTTCGTAATTCGGTCGGGAAGCAGCCATGTTACAGCCGCGCTCCGGCCCCGCCGCTGCCGCCGGCCCGGGGCTGCCCCCGGGGCCCGGCACGTCCCATCGCCGGTCGGGGCGGAGGCGAGAGCCGCGGGCCGGGGCTCCGGCCACCCCGGGGGAGCGGAGCTCGGTGCTGGCTGCACGGAGCCGAGCCACGGCGTGGCTTTAACCCAGCGTGGGGCTTGCACAGCCCCTGTGCAATGCACACACCTCTCTTCTGCCCTTGAACAGACCCCCCACCCCCCAAAAAAAAAGTTATGCCCAGGTCTCGGAGCTGGAGCAGCGGAAGCTGAGCGTGAAAAACGGGGTGCAGGGGGAGCGATTTGTGCTCTTGGCTTTGAGTGAAGGCTAGCGAACGGGGTCCGAGTCGCTTCTGCAGTGCTTTCGGCGGGGTTTGGCTCTCGCCTGGCTGAAATTCGCGTTTCCTGCTAATCAAAGTAGTGCTGCCATCACTGCTACTTCAGAGGCGTGGAAATACAAATATATGTATGTATTGTTACCGAATAATTGCAGGTTTGCCTGACAGTTCACCCTGGAGCAGCCTTGGTGTCAGGGCTAAAATAGCGCCGGCCTTCCCAGTTCCTGGTAACTGAACTGGATTTATACCTGGGTGATAAAAACATCAGTAGCTGTTACTTACTTGTTACTTATTTACTGCAAGCGTCTCTTGGTATGGTTATTTGGGTTATATAGGCGTTATATGAGTTGCATTTCCATTAAGCTGTAGGATTTTAAAGGTAATGGTGGGCATCCGTGCTCCCTTCAGCCCACCACCGGTGTGGCGGTGGTGTGACATTAATGCAAATGGATTTAGAGGGTTTAATGTGTGGATTTGTTCCATCAGCTTGTTGTACGTAGCTGGTTTGGCAGCAGGGGTGTGGTGTGTGAATTCCACTCCTTAAACAAAGTTAATCAGTCATCAGGTGGGTTTGTTGGGCAGCAGCAGCCGGACCCAGCAGAGCTTCCTGGTCGCTGCAGGTATGCGGGGAGCGCAGTTACGTGTGGGGTCAGGTATGTTCAGAGCTGATACGCATAGTGCTTGTTGGTATAAGGAGAACTGCACCATTCCATGTGCTGCATCCAGGCTGCTGAGATGCTTTTCTGTTACAAGAATCTGCTGAAAGGGCAGCAGGATGATGCCTTCCATTCCAGGAATGCGGCTGGGAATGCGCTGTGGAGGGCATCATTGTGACTGTGGAAATGTAGCCTTGCAGCTAGAAAAGCAGGTGGAATCCTTTGGCTTCTCGTGCACACACCTATTTCAGTGTCTGCCTTGTGTTTTGGTTTGTTTTGTTTCCTCTCCCTAGAACTTGTGGAGGGACACATGTTTTTGCAGGGGGCAGTGCCTTTGTTCCTGCATGTGCCTGGATGAAGAGGGATGTGTGTGTGTGGTTCTCCAGGGTCAGGGTTTTCCTCAGAGGTTGTCTATTCTGTTGAGCAATGGAAAAACTCCTCTTTGGAGTTCCTTTACTCTTGCCATGCTGGAAAACAGTTGGTATGCGGTAATGGTGCCATAGAAGTGTGTGCTTCTCCTTAATAACTACAATTGCACATATGCTGGAGTTGTGAGGTCTCTGTGACCAGTGGCAAAGAGTGGTCCTGTCTTAGGCTGGGTGTAAGACCAGCATCTTTAGCACTTGCTGCAGTTGCTGGAGGGGTCATTCCATCTCCCCACTCTAAGTTGGCAATTTTGGCTCAGAGTGCTGATGTCTGGGAGTGAGGATGCTTTCCAACAAGGAGGACTCCATGACCTTGTAGCTGTAGATGCATTTTTTTCCCCTTCCCAATCAGTTGAAGAGGCTGTTATTTAAAATGTGATGTGTCCAGCCATGTACCACTGGAGTGTAACAGAAGCCAATCAGTTAAGTGTAAAATTGCATCTGAAGAGCATGAGTGAGGAGAAGGGGGGAAAGTAGTTGGTTTCCACAGAACCTGCTGATTAGATACGCTGTTTTGGGTTTCTTCCCTATATTTGGTACTGTTGTTTCTATACTACCATAACTGCTCTCCTACATCACTCTGTGTTTGTACAGACAGGCCCAAGTTATCTGTAGTGAGCCTTATGTTTTTGTCAAGGATTTTGAGATGCTGTTCAGAAGGATGGGGCGAAGACAAGTCTCTCTGAATAGCTGTTGTGTGTCTCCTAAGTAGGAGGGTTGCCAAGCTGCTTGATTTACAAAATACATCAGTGGAAGGCGGGAGGCTTGAATCGGATGGGAAACTGCTTACCTGTGAGTGCAAATGTGGGATGTGCTGGTGGGATGGATGCGTAGCAGGAATCTGCTGTGGTCCTGGTGTAGAATCATGTGGTGGAATTGTCAGGTCCCTTTGCTTAGTGTGGGAAGGAGCTCGTTGATCTCGTGGGTCACATGAGAGGAGGTAAATGTGCACCTCTGTGTTATGCTCAGTAATTAATACTCAGTTTGTGAAGTGTGTTGTTTGTGTAATTACGGTGCAGCTTGAGGCAGCTCGAGGTAATACCTCAGTCACTTTGTGCACACCGAGGCTTTTCTCCACAACGCCCTGTTTTTGCAGCAGTGAGGTACACTTGGTTTACCCAGTGTAAAACAGAGCTGGAGGAATTCAGCAAAGAGGGAGAGGAGGAGTGGATGGTGGGTGTCCGTAGGTAAGCAGGCATGGAACTTGTTTATTGTTACAGTCCTTAGCGTGAGCCTTAAACACTCAACTCTCAGCCCTGCCGATCTTTTCTAAACGGTGAGTTTGCTGAAAGAAGTATTTTGGCTGCAGCCTCTTGTCTAAAGCTGGATACAGCTCACGGTGGAAATCAATACTTCACGTCCCTGGCGCTTAGCGCAGCAATTACAGGCAGCGCTCAGTAACATCACAGCAGCCGTGTGTCAGCACCCTTGTGTTTGGATTCTTGTTTGAATTAGAATGGCTTGAATTAATTGCAAGCAAAAGTTAAACCCTTGCCCTGTGGTCCAGGTCAGGGTACAGTGGCAGCGGGATGCAGGCAGAGCATCGCAGCAAGTGCTGCTGCAGCTTAGTGGCCCCTGTTCATGGTGGGTGCACCTCTGGGCTTTTGGGTTATGGTCATTGCTGAATCTACACCTTTATTTTCAGTAGTTGAAACAAAAGCAAGATCCATGGGGAAAATGAGGAGTTTGGGTGTAGGGGCTTGCCATGCTGAATCATAGAATCCCTGCCTGCTTTGGGTTGGAAGGGGCCTTAAAGCTTATCCAGTTCCACCCCCTGCCATGGAAAGGGACACCTTCCACTAGAGCAGCTTGCTCCAAGCCCCTGTGTCCAACCTGGCCTTGAACACTGCCAGGGATGGAACATTTACCACTGCTTTGGGCAGCCTGCTCAGGCAGTTGGTCCATTTAACCTGTTGGTTTTGCCTTAGTCTCCTCCCTGTGTTAAGTGGAAAACACCTTAATTAATTAGTGTTGGTAAAGTGCTTGAAGATGTAAAAAGCAGCCAATAGCTGAGTGTTATTAATAATATCTCCTTCAGCACTGGGCTTCTCACACTTTCTGTTTCAGAGCGTCAGTGGTACGCAGTGGTCCCAGTGTGGAGCTGGGGATGTTGGGGTTTGCATGGCTGCTGCTGAAGTTCAGCTGGGAAGAGAGCGGGAGCTGCACCCCGCTCCTGGAAGCAAGGATTTCTCCTCCTTGCTGTGCTGTGATCGCAGGTGTGTGCAGCGTAAGGAAGATTGTGGTTGTGACTTGGTGCTTGGTGAGACCAAAGGGCCGGGAGGACCTTTATGACAGCCAAACCCAGGGTTTTTCTCTTTGATCTCTCTATACTTTCACAGCTACAATGCAAAGACTTTGACTTTTGCCCAGGAGGCAATCGGTTACCTCTGTGCTATTGCTGTTTTGCGAGTAATCATCTCGGGCTGTTGAAAATGTACCTTTTTCATCTTTTCACAAATCTTCCCTGCTATTTGTTCTTCCAGAGCTTGACAGCTGACACTGTAAAGGAACCTGAGGAATTTGGATACTGTCAGGTGCTGGGAGTCTTGCTGTACTACTACTTTTCCTAATAATTCCCTCCTTTATTTACCTCCATCCTGCATATTTCCCAGAGTGAGGAGCAATTAGTTTTATGCTCTGAAACAATTGCATGCACTGGGAAATAAATCCGTGCATAGCAATATTCACATGGTTGGTTTAGATGCAAGGAACTGGCTGCAGACAGCGCTTCCGGTCCCCATTAATACAGGAAAATCTGCATCAAACCCTGTTTGATGCTGAGGGAGACTTTGCAGCTGGGGGTGTCATTGACCAGCAGTTGAGGGCAGATGCCTTTCCTCGAGTGGTTCCTGCTCTTCTCCTTGCACCAAACAGGGCTGACGTACCTTGCTGTAAGTTAGGCACCGAACCTCAGCACCAGTGTGACATAGAGCAAAGCTTCAGTCTCCAGCTTATTAAAATTCAATTCTCATGATTTCTTGTTGACAGTGAAGCATGAGATAAGAGCTGTTGGTACTGATGCAGCAGCTTGCAGAACCGGAGCGCTTGTAACGTGGCACGGCGTGTGGAGCCAGGCTCTGCTTACCTCTGTGCACAAACCCTGGGGAATCAGTCAATCGGGGACCTTGGTTTTAGGCTACATCCTCACCCATGGGATGGTGAGGGCTCAG